TGTCGAATTTGACTCCCATTTCTTAATAGTTCCTGGTATTCTTTAAGTGGAGTGAAGCTTGATGACGAGATACGAGTTTTTATTATATATATATATATATACACATATATACATATTATATGTCAGTAGAATGAGCTTAGATTGGCTAAATAAAGAAGTACTATACATGAGATGATTTCGTAGCGAGATGATTCGCTGGCTGCAAAACACGAGACATGTATTTCATAACCGTCCTGGTGGTTTCATCTTCTGCAGTTGAAACTCTGTAAGTAGTAGCGAATTCCTGCGGTTCCTTAGCGAGCAAGATATCAAAAGAACAATTTGCAGTGCTACTCTTATGATTGACAGAATGTTCATTTGTTTTTGTTGAAAGTATTTCTGTGGAAATGATTGTCGTTCGCGTTCAAACCCCGACCTCGGCATTCTGCGTCCGGCCATCCATTCTCCTCTGTTATCGGCGGCTGCCAATCGATCTTTGATGGCGACGAAACGATGCTTGTCGTTGTCTCAACACATTTACGATCACCAAAAAACCTTTATTTCATCGAAAGTGGCCCGATTTCATGCGTTTTGCGCTAACCTGACCGCTGAACTCACTTTACCTAAGCAGTTCAGGTGTTGGAGAAAAGTCTTCGACGTGAGTGTAAATGCCACGGAATGAGCGGATCGTGTGAGATAAAGACGTGCTGGGACACTCTACCCACATTCAGGTGAGCTCGTTTCTACCAAATTCGAAACGTTTAGATATGCTGTGCTTAGATGTTGTTAGTTCTGCAGCGCTGAAAACACAAGAACAGTCATGATTTGGATAGACCGAACGAAATGTAGCATCGCCTCGTTAGGCTAAATTTCTTCGACACAAACTCGAGATACAAACTAGACTACTGGGATACTAACTCGGGACCACGAGATGTGAGGAAAACTCGGGACCTCAGGTGCGCTTCGAACCTGCGACTACCCTTTTTTGAAATTACTTGTTATCTTGTTATCTACTGCACCAACCGCGGCGCTTGCCTTGCCTTTCTCTCAGCCAATTTTCTACAGATAACACCCTGCCATTAGCAAGGAATAGGTGGTAAACAAAACTTGAAACAAACCAAACTGTTAAGGGATTGCAATTGAAAGAAATTGCAGTGCGATGACTTTACAAAAAAGAAGTTTTCAGGAAAGCCAACTTAATTACTGCAGGAGTGGTTTTGCGGCTGAAGACTTGGAGAAGTTCGACTTTTTCAGAGAGATCGGTGTGATCATCAAGGACAAGTTTGACGGTGCATCGGAGGTGGCGATTGAGGAGAAGGACGATCAGCCGCGCATTGTCATGAAGAACTCGCAGTTTAAGCGACACACAAACGCTGATCTGGTACGTCCAGTATGGTTTAGTGAACTCATCGAAATTTGAAACTGATCGATAGACCGATCTCTCAGTTCGCTAAAGTCGCAGGATATTCCAGCATGATGCATCTTTTGTTTGCGCGAAAATCAAACTCTCTTTGCTGTCATCGTCGATTTTTTACATTCCAAAAGTTATTTTCCAAGTTTAGGAAAGGAAATGAGAATTTACATATTCAGATAGCATAACACACAAATGGCTATTAGTCCGTAGAAGAGTTCATGAAAAACACCAACCTTTTGATTTTGCTGGAACACGTAGGCTAAGAATCGTCTTATAGGTTTCAATTTGTTCATAGGCTTACGTCATATACTTCATTTGTACACGGAGAACCGAAATCTGGAGACATCATAGCAAACTGAAATCTATGAACACATACAGATCTACATGAGTCCGTCTCCCGACTTCTGTGAAGCGGATCCCGAACGAGGTATTTTCGGCACGAAAGGACGAGAATGCAATGTCACCTCGCAAGGAGTGGACGGTTGTCAGTTAGTGAGTGTCTTTGATATCTGAACATTTAAAGTTTATGGTCATCACTATAAATAAGTCCCGTTAAGAGACTGCCATCCCTTTTCCCGACCAGTCAAGAACTTTGATAAATTTCAAAACCGTGGCAAGTTCAAGTGCGAACAAAGGTGCAACATAACGACGGTGAGATATTAGCAAAGCTTGGACAACGGTCCAGATCGAACCAACGATTACCCGTTCCGGGGCTCGCGTATTACACACTGCCCCACAGATGCCTTTGCTCTGCGTTTCTCTCAGCTAGTTTTCTACCTATCGCTGCCATTAGCAATCACCCGTCGACGGGATTGAGGGGTGGTAGGCAGAAAATAAAAAGGCTGAAAATCTGCAACAGTTCCACAGGGAACAAGGTTTGAAACACGCTTTGAAATGACCTCTGGAATAAAAATTTGAATATTTTTTCATTGTTTATGGATTTAAAGTGTTGAATTCGAGCCTTTGACTTTTAGCCAACACTTTCATCAGTTCTTTTTCAATAATTTGAACAAAAACGTACGATGGATAGAACGCGTTCCCATCGTGGGTACATAACTCACACCTTAGATAAGCTGTTCAATGGCAATCGGATTAGCCTATCTTTTAGCTCCTTTTATCTCGAACAATTCGAGTAACTGTTGTGGTCACTAACATTGTATTTTCAAACACTATTTTTAAAACCACAATGGTGCTGAGATATTGGCAAAGCTCCGGACCGCAGATACCAGCGCTCCAGAGTTTTGCAAATATCTCAGCATCATTGTGGTTGTATCACACATAATACCCTACCGTGAAAAATGGTAATAGGCTGTAAATAAAAAAGTTAACACTGTCATTTCGGCTGCTTTTAAAACTTTTATAACTGTAATATTTCGGTGTTGATTGCTAAAAATTTGATGCAATGACGTAATCCAGTAGGAATTTTAGTTGTGCTGCAATCGTGGTTTCGAGCGACGAGTATTTTTCGAGCCCGACCAGTGCAACTGTAAGTTCTACTACTGTTGTCGAGTGGAATGTGAGCCGTGCGAACGACGCATTGAGAAGCACTTCTGCCTCTGACTCTGGCCGTCAGCATCGGCGGACGATGGCCATTCAGGACGATTTCACGCACTTCAGTTGCCTCGCTTCAGACAAATCGGACAACATTTTGTCGTCGTGCGTTTCCATGTTTTCTTCTAATTCGATACCTTGCAATCTACCACTTTTTGCACATCACTTGAAAGCTCATCACCGTTTCCTAACGCTAATCATCTTTTGATTGTCCTTCTCCTTTTACTAAATGCTCTGTTCAAATATGAGAATGTTGTGTTAATTTTTCTGCGTTGTAATGGTCTCACTGTGTATAAGAACTTCACATCGACTAATGAATTTTATGCTTATAAGTAGAATTACTATACAAAATTGCACGACACCTGTTGTGAAGGAGCATGACTGAGAGCGATGCACGCCACTTGGAAGAATCAGAGCACATTTGGACAAGAAACGCTAGTCAGGGAAAAAGCAGCTACGGACACTGTACAAATGATATGGTGGGCGACTACCGAACTTAAAAAAACGAAGGAATGCGACCGATAAAATTGCCTACGAACGACGATTTTTTACACACTGTATACAGATATGACCTGGTTAGCTGATTATTGATCAACTAAGAAATTGAGCAAGAAAGACAAAAGTCGTTCTAATCGAACAAGTACGGTTTGATCCTGAGATGATGTCTGAGAAACTAAGAGGAGAAATCGATTCTAGCATTTCACCGAATGAATCTGGGCAATCATCTAGCAGTGCTTGAAGGTGTCTTAAATGCTGAACGTCGCTGATTTCCTGGTATCCCCCCAAGTCACTTTTTTTACCGGCTTGCATGGCAAGGTTCGGGATCGAATTCTGGCACTGTCACTTTCTGCAGGTCGCTTCTGAAAAGTTTCACATGTAACATGTTAATAGTTAACCTAAGTAGCCAAGATTTTCCTTGACCATTTCAAATCTGAATTACAACTAGGAAAGCTGTCGTTTTTCAAGAAATCTTTCACAAGCACTTTCTCTACCTAGTTTTTCGTCCGGATAAAAGGAAAAGAGTAAGAATAAATGTTAAAAGAAAAAGAATTTACCTCGTTAGTACCCATTACGAGGCTCGCTAGGACTGCAAAGTCTTTAGCTTGCTGGGTGGTGCCATCAGTTTCAAGAAGTACTGTAAACAGCATTGGCTCAAGAATTGGAATGCGATGCTGCACATCTCTAAGAACCTGAAGAATTCTATAGTCACATTCCAGCAGAATCAGTATTCCAATGGTTTCGCGCTTCCAAACGAACCCTGCTGAGCACCTTGTCGCGGAATATTGTGATAATTATTCGACGGATATTGAAGTCTCTGCGTGTACGCTAGAAGAAATCCTTCTCAGAACGAAGTTTTTAAAAAGGGAAATGAATTTAAAGCATTCACATAATAAGCAGCTATGTAATTACCTGCAAGGGATACAGGATACTTTGCAACACCGGAAGCGTGTGCTGGTAAAGTTGCTCCCACATTACAACCAGGTTCTAAATAAAAACATTGAGCAAACACGTAGGCACGGAAGACTGTGGCGAATCAGAGATTCTAATACTACGTAGCCTTTTCTAAACATTTTAATTTCTTGCGTTTGCTCCCTTCGAGCGGGCGTCCACATTCTAGTAAAATCTAGTATAACTGTGATCAAGCCTGTACGGCTGCACTAGTGGAACACATTCTGTCATCTGTTGCTCACCTGTGGGTCCTTGGAATCCAGGATGCAACAGAGTTCGGATGTGTTGCAAACGAACTGCTTGCAGGCGTTGTTCTCTAGAGTTGATGGAGCAACACCGGTCTGCAAACGTCAAAACGACCACTACAGTAATTTTCAGTAGAGTTTTCAGTGTTATAAAGCGACAAAACCCACCAATTTCTTCCGCTGAAATTCAGTTTTCGTTTTATTTGCCAACATTTTTTGGCATCCTTTTCAAAATATTTCACTACTGCTTGAACGAATGGTCAGAAATAGGAGATGTGTGAAAGAGGATGTTGCTTTTCAGAAGGTTTTTTATTCATACTCATAAAGGAAATTCATGTTTGATCAGCAGCCTCTTCTATTGAATTTATTTGTCAATAATTCAGCAAATAATAAATCGATAACCACCTTAAGAAATTCGATGAAGAGTTCCTGCTCGTCGAACGTCATCCGTTCGATATCATTGACCAGCTTACGCCTCTCATCACTGATGATCGCGTGGCCTTGGAGAGCCGACACTAGCCAGAGACCCCACCTGAATTTGACGAACGTCAGGTTTTCGACTGAGAAATCACTTACGGACTATCGTTCTCAAGACAGATAACGCTAAAGCGTTTTGCATTTTGTTCTTCAACCTGCTTAATTCTGAACTATATGTGACTAGCAGATTCTACGAAAGAGTAGAAACAAGGAAATATGAGTTTATTTACTGCCTTTTATATGTATTCTTTCTTTGATGAGCTTACACGAGCTTGATAATGATGTTTATTTTCGGATAACGTTTCGACGTCTTCGTCTTCATCAGAGCCGATGATCCGAGTCGATGGTCTTCGCTTGTTATTCGCTTCGACGTGGCAGCTCCTTCTTCGTGTCGAGTTAGGTCTTCCTCAGTGAGCCATCTCTTCGAATGAGGCATCCTTACTCAGTGATGCCCTTTTATACACGATGCTGATAGTCGATATAATGATAATGTCCGGTGATAACAACTTGTTTTTCTTCCGGACATACATCATTGCGCACATCGTGCAGGAGTCGGTGTTGTTATCAGCTAGCACAAAGCTTAGTAATATTTCGAAACCGACTTTCCCTGAACCTCGGTATACTGCCTTTTATAATTTTTCACGGCAGAGTATTATGTGTGATACAACCACAATGATGTTGAGATATTTGCAAAACTCCGGAGCGCTGGTAACGCGATGGAGAACGAAAGCGATATTACCCTTTTCTGGTGCTAACGCGTTCACCACCACACCATGCCGGTTCATTCGTTCGCCGGTCTCTTAGCTAGTTATAGAAGACTTTGCTTTGGAATGCTAGACAAGTTCCGAACTCACGATGGTGACAACGGCGATGATGACGACGGTGATGAAGGAGGTGATTGATTGCGAACGATACCAGATAGTTTACGAAAAGGTTTCAAATAGTCTGCAATTCATTATATTCAACCAATTCGTTGCATGTAAACCTTAAGTATTCAGTGAAAATTTTATCCAATGTAAGTTTTGAAAGAATCGGCTAAAACGGAAACTAAAACTGGTGGGATACTGAACAACCTGGACGTGTAGAGACGGGGGAGAACAGCATGTGTCGTAATGGCAGAAGACAGGCTGACTGAAAACAAAGTTCGTAAAATAAACGTGAAAGAGACAGGTCTCTTGTAAATTTTGTTAGAATTCACAGCAAATGAAAGCGAGTTTTTTAGAAAGGGAAGTAAGAGACATGTTTAGCGAGAAAATAAAGTAATCAAAGAAAAAATCTAACAATTGGATGGAAATACTGAAACTTTACCCAAGCACTTCAGTAAGGACTAGAGTTTTCTATGAAATTTTTCAACAGATAAGCTTCAGAAATAAAAGGCCTTCAATAGAGATTCTTGTTGAAAGTCTGGAGGTTACTCCTGATCTCATCGAGCCACTATCAGAATATTCGGCACTGTTTTAGAGTACCCAGAAAACACTTCCATACGATAAGAAAGTGTGCGTGTAGAACCAATGTATTGGAAAGAATGAAAGAAGGTGGAGCTAGAGATGACATAGTAGCTATCACTTTTCCGTTATCGAAGCGAAAGATTACAAGGTTAAAAATTCAGGGAAAAATGAGCAGACGAAAGGTCGGAGTTCGTTTTACGCCGAAGTTAAAAAAAGACATTATCATCGTTTGTCGAGGAATTTGAACGAAAAAGATGGAATGTAAAATGAAAGGAATAAGACAGGCAGCAGAACTGAAAGAGCTAATAGAAGAAAGTTTGAGCATTCACGCATTTACAAACATTTCTCACTGAGCTCAGTCAAGATCAATAGATTGAACAGATCAGCTTAAGGGAATTAGAAACCTTTAAGAAACAGCTTTGATTAAGAATTCCCTCACCGTGAAGAGCCGATAACCTAGGCATCGGTTACAGTGTTCGCTGGAAATAAAGGGTTTCGGGAAGTTTAGAAGTTGCTATAAACAGCTTTATACGATAACGTGGCGCGGTGAGCACTATTTGTCTCGATCAGGGAGCGTGACATTCCTTTTTAGGAATGAGGACCAGTTAAAGTGCAAAAACGAGAAGATATCTTCATCAATGAAAATAAGTGCAGTTCAAACATCTACTTTCGAGGCCAATCTTAAAAGCAATCGTTAGATTCTGGCAAACTTAGCGGGCTTCGACAAAAAGCTGATTGTCGCTTTTTAGAGCGCTGACGTCGCTTGCTGACGAACGTTGATCATTTGCGCGCTTTTCTGCAATTGCCGTTCTAGGAATGAAGTAAGACATTTAGGCACTCCTTCAGCATCAGACCTGAAATAGCAAAGGCTGATTCGTCATGATAACTTGAATATGCGACTTGTGAAAAAGAATTCGTGTACCTAAACCAGCTCTTAAAACTTGTTGGAGTTCCTCCTAATTTCAAGGAAAAAACTCCAAAACGACTTGAAATTAGAAATCCATAAGGCAGTAAACTTGAAGAAACTAAGGCGACATGCTAATGAGGAAATTACATAGAATGCTCAATGCTAACTATGCAAGAAAAGCATTGGAGAAAAACGAAAACCAATTTCCAGAGAAGGAAAAAGAAAAAACGAAGACTTTCATAGTACACTGTATTTAGCCAGATATTACTATTTATGGAAAGTCACGAAATTACTTGCTGATGGCAAAGTTACAATGGGTGTGATGTGGGCAGTGCAGTTCTGGGAGAAACGCTACTAACAAGCCAGTCGTATTCCTCTCTTTTAAATAGCCATGTGCTCCACACACGGCGTGATCCGCTCGTCAGTGATTCCATATGTCCACATAATGGATTTCATTGGTAAAGTCCAATACTTCTTCTCTCTCATTTATGACTGTTTCTCTCTCTTTTTTGGGAACAATATCGATCAGTTGACCAGTCGGTCAACGACCTATTGACTGCCATTAGTTTAGTTTTTGTGTAATTCCGTACTTTCCATTCGCGTACTAATGCGGACGAGAACGATGTAGTTGGATGACTGAACTTTGCGTTCGTGACGTTGGCTGACGATGATGTTTAAAACGTCTGACACGCCCATATGTGTTCTTCGGAATTTTAGTTGATGTTGTTACTAATAATGATCGAATACCGTAGAGAGATGCCGTCTGAGAGTTCACACTTCATAGTAATCGCCGTAACAATTTGTGTGCTCTTCATAAATATTGTCGTCTTTCGATCAATTCATACCCATGCGGATGAATTTCACCTAGTTCGTCTCTGCGTAAGAAAACTTTTCATCGGAGTCCTTCCAAGGAAACCCAGCATTGTGAGAGGTCTGTTAAAAACGCATGGATGGTTGTGATATATCTTGCTCTACAATGTCGCAGTATTTGAATTATCTCACACTTTACTCATCAACCAGTGCATTACAGTGGTAGATGCCAATAAAATCGAAGGTCCCTCCATTTTCTATGGAAGTGAAAATGTAGACCATGAACTATGGACAATGAACCATAGACTATGGACCATCGACTCCGACGAAGACGAAGACGTCGAAACGTTAGCCGAAAATAAATATATTTATCAACCTCGTGTAAGCTCACCAAAGGAAGAACGCATATTAAAAATATAGAGTAACTGACCTTTATAAATTATCGATCACTCAGCAACGTACTAGGCTGAGGTGACCTCATTATAGGAAAAGATCTTTTGAGCGAATGCTACCACATGTATGACTGGTAACACATTGCAAATTCTGCTTAAGATCTTTATTGAAAATCGTTGACTAAAAGCCTATCGGTAGTGTAGTTGGAGAGGAATGCAAGTCTTATTGGTGTACTTTCTCAAAAGCACTTTAATCACGACTTCACATTCACGTGGTGTGAGGTAGCGTGTGGCAATGAGTCCGAGCGTTTTATAAAAGATCGTGATCTATGAAGCATTCACATCAAGAAGTGAAGATCATCGTAGAATATTTGCATAACCATTTTTTGTTATAATGTGTTATTGCGTCATTCTTATATACTTATAAAAGATTAACAAGCAATCGATAAGATGTGCGGGTAAGAGAAAACTGCAGAGCGATTGGAATTCGACAAGAAATATCACCTATCGGCGCTTCGTCAACCGTTGTGGATTCCTATTGATAAGAAGTAACGTGCTATCGACAAAGTTCGTTTGAGGTGCGGTCTAAAAGCAAAGTATGCATGTGTGATCGCAAATACCTTCGAGGCATTTATGCACTTTAGTTTTGCTTTTATAGCTGAGTCGTGGTAAGAATTGTGGGGATTTTCAGGGATATTTCCTATAGCTCAACAAGTTTTCGATTAGGTGCAGGTGGCATCCATCTATACTTTGGACAAATCTGCACCACACGAGAGAATTTATTGTGTTGAATATTTTACAAATAAATCACCTTACAATCGACATGTCGATGATCTTATCAACGAAGGTGGTAAATCTCTCGCTTTGCTAAGGCATTTAGTCACTTATTCATTTCTTAAAAACTGTTTATCGACAAATCATTTAGAGAACGAGAGCGCCGATTTCTTGTCTGAGGAGCCAATAATCTGGTCCTCAACGGATGATCCGATCGTACTACATGAACACAGCAGGTTTAAATGAGCTTGGCTACTTTGAAACAGAAGCGCAAAGATTGGATGGAATGTGTCAGAAACTTCGATAGCTGCTCTTCACACTGGTCAACAGGAGGACAGGGAATTCATTCTCCGCTACACGTCATACTATCGACGCTACAATGGTAGAATGAGCTGTGCTACGAAACTCTCCCTCATCAACCGAGTACATGCCAGACCTCACTCCGGTCGACTGCGACTTCTTTAAGCATGTCAGGTACTTCCGCTACGAGGAATGCTTCAAAAACCAAGCTGAGCCGACATTACCTTCAACGACTTTATCGTCACCAGAAATTCAAAATTCCCTGCAACTGGCATAAATAGTTTTGTTACTCGCTTCCAAAAACGTATACATTCTGTCGGTTTCAATAATTTCTAGAGAACGTTACAGAAACAAATGATAAGAACAAATATTTAAGTAACTGGTGGCACAAATAAAAATAATGTAATAATGATAATGTTTGATTTTTTACTTACTGCCTACTAGAATTTTTATTATGCGAAATAAAGCACAACGGTGCTGAGATATTTGCAAAACTCTGGACCGCAGGTGTCTATGGCGGGGAACGAACGCGCTATTGCCCTTTCCGGGGAGTAGCACGTTCACCACTACACCATGCGGGTACTTTGTTTCGTCTGTCTCTCAGCTACTTCTATCGATCTTTGCAACAGCAATCACCCTTCAACGGGATTGATCTGGTACGCCCAAATCTGCATAGAACCCAGTTAAGCAGCGGCTGTAGCTGAAATCACAATGTTATACCTTTTTATTTTCTGCCTACTATAATTTCGCGGCAGGGTACTAAGCGAAATACAACTACAACGTTGCTGAGAACAAAGGACCCGCATGGTGTGGTGGTGAACGCGCTACTCCCCGGAAAGGACAATAGCGCGTTCGTTCCCCACCATAGACACCTGCGGTCCAGAGTTTTACAAATATCTCAGCAACGTTGTGGTTGTATTTCGCTTAGTACCCTGCCGCGAAATTATAGTAGGCAAAAAATAAAAAGGTATAACATGGCGCTGAGATACTTTCAAAACTTGGACCCCTAGCCAGATCAAACCACAATTTCCTTTTCCGGGGCTCGCGCATTACACACTAGCAAAGCTGCCGGAGACCAATTACTGATGCTTCCACTTAAAACTAAATGCAATGGCAAGGTTTGGTGCCAGCCCCCTCCCATTGGCGCGAAATACTTCCCAGACCGTATAAAAATTGAGCAGTTTAAGCACACTTTTAAGAGGGCCATCGACTGCTTAGTCAAATACCATTCACGTTTGTTCTTTCTTCGTATTCCATAAGGACACCGAATGTGGCTTGCGCAGCAGAGTTTGTATTAAGGGCTGTAACATAGCAAGATCCAACCACGTATGCACTGCTAGGAAGGGTGTTATGCAGACGATCCAGGACCATTAGATGCTCGTAAAAAAGGCTGGAATGTCCTTTATGAACTGGGTAAGTATCAGCGTTATAAGCCACGTTATTCGATCCGCTTATCTTTCTTCACGGCTTACCATGGGTCTGACTTTGCATACTGGTGTATTGTTTTACGCAAGATTATCATTGGGTCTTATGAGTCCTGATAAGTAAGTTTAAGATGAAATATGTCGGAAGTTAAACCTTGGATATACCAGCTAGTCAGAAAGCATTTGTACGACCGCCTATACGAAATGCGGAATTGCCCGATTTGTCCTAACGGTAGACACGGTGATTGCATGAGTTCGCGTACGCTGTGCATTACCTCTTGTAAAGAGTGCGGGAACGAATACGTTGGCGAAATTGGTAGACCAATCTGCGTCCGTATAAAAGAACACCTAGAAGGCAAGCGTAAAGTTAAACAAAATTCTTGGGAAGATTTTTAAGTAGAAGTCATAAGTTGCGTTACTCTGAGGTACTCTTTCACCAAATGGAATGCTGAGGGACCGGTTAGAAAAAGCCGTATCGTCTTTGTGCAATAGTATGCAGCCAACGAAAAGTGATGCGTGATGTCCTACACCGGTTGAATGTTCATTCCATACGCAGCCTTGAAAGTAGTGCGTTCAAATGGTCATCGCCTCCTCGTAAACCGAAATATTGTCTGGCACAAGGACTTAGTGAAGATTGAAACTTATGGTTGGAGCGCAAACTTCTAGTGAAAGAACCGTTAATGGTGTTGTTCCAGTATGGATGGATGGACCTCGTACAAGGATATTATGGCTCGCAAAAGATTTGTATACAATCTCTCGTAGTCGATTTTATTCAACACCGGAAAATTTGCAACCTGGGTGCCATCCCTTGAGAGAGAAACAAAGCACAAATGACGTTGGGCTCCCAGTATCTCAAT